ACCACAAAACCGTGAATTGTGAACCGTTCCACCCCTATTATACAGTGGACCAAACACTTTGTTTTGGCTTAGAAAAGATGCAAATTAAACTTTATTAGTGGGTCCACCGCTTTGGTATGGGAGTCATTTGAGTTCTTTGTTAACCTGTAATACTCGATACCGATCTAATTCGATGAAAGAGGCTCACTAGAGGGAGTTGTTGGAGTTTTTTTGGTCCCCTCTATGGGGTTGGGGCTGAGAATCTTCACCAGCATATTGACATTATCTTGGCCCCTCCTTGGCGCCTTTGCTCCGGGGATCCCTTTGGGCTTTGTTGTTGTTTGAAAACAACAACAAAAAAGACACTACCTTTATACAAAAATGTTTTGCACTTCTGGAATCTGGAAAACAGGAAAGCATAAATATTGTTTCTGGTTTTTTGACTAAAACATTTCAAACGGTGGGGTCCATCATTTTTGTTTTTTCTACCTGCAGTAGCTGGGATGGAAAGCAAGGTCCAGTTAAAGACGTTTACAGTCTTGCAAATAATCCTCAGTACAAGCTGGAGGCCCAGTGTCCAGCAGGGGGAGCTGCTGTGTGGGTCCTGCTCACCAGACACATCACTGACAAGGTATAAAGCCTCAATTAGCAACTTAACGATACATCAGTGGTTTATTTAAACTCAATTTGCTGAAAAAAAGTTTTTCTCTCTACAGGATGACTTTGCTCAAAACAGAGAGTTTATCACTCTGGTTGTTTACAAGACAGACGGCAAGAAGGTTTATTACCCAGGTGAGTTTTAATTGGCTGTGATGAGAGCAAAATTTCCTGTTTCGCTTTAAATTTGTCCTGAAATCAAACAACAAATTCAGTCTTTTAGAAAAAAAAAGTCATGTTTTTTTGTAAGGACCAAATGTACCCTTTTGAATAATTAAGATGAATCCAGTTTCATTGGCATTTAAGGACAACATCCATACTTTTTTATTTAACCTCCTCCTCTCTGCAGCCGACCCTCCTCCCTTCATCGATGGTATCCGCATCAACAGCCCTCACTATCTGACCAAGATAAGGCTGACCTCTCCAGGAACACACACCTTCACACTCGTGGTTTCTCAGTATGAGAAGCAGAACACCATCAACTACACTCTGAGGGTGAGAGCCTTTTGTTTGAGCCCAATCGTGAGGCTCACTGCCACACAGAGCATACAGAGGTGGTTTGAGCGGGGCGTAAAGGAAGCCATCTATGTTAAAAGGAAAAACAAACCTTAAACAGAGGGAAGGAGGTGAACTCAGGTTTCAGCTTTCAAAAACCTCCAATGCAGCAACTGATTTGATTCCTTCCAGCCATCATCGAGACCTCCACCCCCTTACAGGGAAACAGAACACTTCGCCTGTTTAGCCATAACAAAAATTCCCTATTGCAGGCTAACAAAAAACCCAAACGACTGCCCATTCCTAAAAAGCGGACCCGTTCATCCCGTTCAATTAGCATGTTTTCTAAGCCAAAACAAGGCTTTTTTTTTGGTCCATTCTATAAAGCCTTGAACTGAACACTATTTCTGACATTTTTTATTGAAAAAGCTTCCTGGATGGGGAGCGAAACATCTTTAAACTTGGGAAGAAAGTCTAGTGGATTGTTTTTTTTTTAAACTTTTTTGGAAGAGTATACAGAGCTAATAGATAAAAATTTCATTTTGAATTCTTGACGGTTGGGAAAACATTTTCTCACACTAAAGAAAATCCAGGATCAAGGATCAAAGAA